CTAGTGTGCTGCTCGCCTTGGTGAATGTTTGGAAAATAACAGCCCCTGCTTTGCCTCCTGGTTAGTGAAGGCTGAGACAGCAAGAAGGAAACCCTTCTGAAAGCGAGAGTTGCTGCAGATATAGGGTCTATTTTACTGTTTTGCTATTTGAGGGCAGGTCTGAGCCAGAAGGTACATTTGGTCCAAATGGCTGTGTGTGTGAGTGGTAAGGTGAGGACAAGAATCTGGGTCCTGACCCCCAGTAGAACATTCCTGCTGCCCTAAGGTCACCTCTCAGCCTGAAAACCACAGGCCATATCACTTTACCCAGACTCTCTATGGGGACTCTGCCAGGACCTCTCTTCTCTCCTTGAAACAAGGAGGTCGAGCCCAGGAGATCCTGAGATTCCTTTTCTGAGCCTTTGAACCCAGCGTGAGGGCAGGCCAGAACTGCACTTGGGGCCCCTCACCTGGGTAAAGCGTCACTGGAAGAAAAGGCGTGCAGGGATGGGAAGCAAGTGCCAGGACAGCAAAACAGCTATGCCTGAGCCAGGGTCCAAGCCTGCCCTAGGTTGCCAGCCTGGAGCAGAATATCCACTTCCCCCCCTGGGATAGATTTCCCAGAACCTTTGGGAAGCAGGAAGATCATTTACTCTAGTTGTTAGAGCAGAGGTTTTGGAGTCCAACAGATAGAGGTTAAAATCCCCATGTCCAGGAACACCTGGGTGGCTCAGTCGGTTGAGCGTCCAACTTCAGCTCAGGTCATGATCTCACAGTTCGTGAGTTTGAGCCCTGCATCAGGCTTGCTGCTGTCAGCGAAGAGCCCGCTTAGGATCCTCTGGCTCCTTGTCTCTCTGGCCCTCCCCCACTCATGCTTTCTCACTCAAAAATAAAAAAACAAAACAAAACATGAAAATCCCTGTGTCCACAAGCCAGTATTTCAGTCTTGGTTTCTTTCTGAAACAGGGAAATGATAACATCCACTGCATAAGATAGCTGGAAGGGTTCAATGAGGTAGAAAGTATGTCCCGTGCTGGGTTAGCACATTGCAGCGAAATGGCAGGTGTCTTCGCTCAGGGAACAATTATGAGCACCTGGTGGATGCTGGGCTCTATCCTGAGCTTTAGGTAGTTGATAGGAACAAAACCCTCAGGAAGCTTATAACCCAGTGTGAAGAGACAGATAAGTAAGCGACCACCTTGAGACAGTGTAAGACACATTGAAATGGGGGAAGCACAGGATGTTATGGGAACTGGGCAGGAAATGTGTGTGTGTGTGTGTGTGTGTGTGTGTGTGTGTGTGTACGCGTGTGTAGGCCTTCTGGAGGAGGTACTATTTTTACTGAAACGTGAATAGGAAATTAGCCAGATTTGGGGTAGGGACTGTGCAGGAAGAATGTTCCAAGCAGGGGAGAAGTCACCTGCTAAGTGTTAAGTTCTTGGAGTGGGCAAGAACTTGCAGGGACAGGCAGTACTAGGGTAAGAAAACGTGGCCTGACCCTGAGGTTTTCACAAGCCAGTGCAGAGGCTTTTTCCCCTGGACTGTGGGACACAGAGGTGAGAGGATATAAGGCAAGGATACTTCTCACCTCTCAGAGCAATGCTGCCTGGGAGAATTCAGCCTCCAATTGTTTTTCCTTCTCCCATGTTCCCTACCCATTTCCTCCTGCCCCATTATCCTGGGGGTCACCAGGTCTGGTGTGACTGCTTTTGTCCACTGTGGCTCCCATCCCCATTCAGTGTGTGCTGTGCCTTGAGCACTATGGTGGTCAGGAAGACCCCGGCTCTGACCCTCCTCTGCCCCAGAAGCAAGACTCAGGGCCATTCCCTGGAGGAGAGGGGAAGTTCCTAATAAGGTAAGATGGTGGGCAGTGGGGAGGGCACAGCTTACGGCATGGGGTTCCAGAACACTCGAGGTCCATGAGCAGCCATTTGAGGGCTGGATTGGGGGTATCAGAGTGGGGCCATCTCTCTGGGTCCCATCTCCTGACCTCCCCCCTCAGTCTCCTTTCTGCAGGACCTAAGATCCTGCTTTGCCTTGGGAAAGGACTTTGACACATTTTCACAATCAAGTTGAGAGAAGTCTCCAGAGGGGAAAAAGGATAAACAAGCTTAAAAAATGCAAAAGGAAATGTATTCTTTATTTATTTTCAAAGTTGGGGGAGGCCACAGCCAGCTCATTTGAGTGAAAGTTTCCAGCCACTCTGACATGAGGTCACAGAGACTTCAGGGAGCCAGGACGTTTGGGATGGGGCAGCTGGAGTGTCTTCAGGCCAGATTCAGAATCAATTCAGCTAACAGGGCAACCGTCAGCCTGCCAGGCACTGTGCTCTGCACTGCAGGGGTGAACATGCAAAGACCTAAATCCTCCCTCCAGCTGAGAGTCCGGTAGAGGAGCTAGAACAAAGATAGCAAGGACTGGTGGACAAGGAGAGAGTGTGACAAATGTCATAACAAAAAAGTTCAAATAAGCACCAAAGGGACAGGAGGGGGATTCATTTCTGGTGTGTGTGGGTGGGGTACTCATTGAGGAAAGCTTTCAAAGCTTTCAAGGACTAGCTGAGTTAGACTTTGAAGCCCAGCTAGGATTTTAATGGGCATAGATCAAGCAGAAGGCTTTCTGGGTAGAGCAGATAATGTGAGCAAAGGTACAAGGTGGGAAATTCTTCTTTGAGAAATAGGGATGTTTGGGGTGCCTTGGTGGCTCAGTCGGTTAAGCATCCGACTTCAGCTCAGGTCATGATCTAACGGTTCGTGAGTTCAAGCCCCACGTTGGGATCTGTGCTGACAGCTCAAAGTCTGGAGCCTGCTGTGGATTCTGTGTCTCCCTCTCTCTTGCCCCTCCCCCACTCGTGCTCGCTCTCTTTCTCTCTCTCAAAAATAAATAAACATTAAAAAATTAAAAAACAAGAAATAGGGATGCTCGATTTTCTTAAACATGTATTTATCTATTTATGTGTTTATTCATTCATGTAAAACTGCTTTATTGAGATATAAGTCACATACTATACCATTTGCCCATTTAAAGTGTACAATTTAGGGGCACCTGGGTGGCTCAGTCAGTTGAGCATCTAACTCTTAATTTCCTTTTTTTAAGTTTATTTATTTAATTTGGGAGAGAGAGAGAGCACGAGCAGGGGAGGGGCAGAGAGAGAAGGAGAAGAGAGAATCCCAAGCAGGGTCTGCACTGTCATTGTGGAGCCCAATGTGGGGCTTGAACTTATGAACCTCGAGATCATGACCTGAGCCAAAACCAAGAGTCAGACACTCAACCACCTGGGCCACCCAGGTACCACCTGACTCTTGATTTTGGCTAAGGTCGTGATCCCAGGGCTGTGAGATTGAGTCCCACATCAGGCTCCCTGTTGAGCATGGAGCCTGCCTAAGATAATGTCTCTGTGTCTCTCTCCCTCTGCCCTTACCTGCCTCTCTCTAAAATAATAAATAAATAAATAGACAAACAAACAAATAAAATAAAGTGTACAATTTACAAAGTTGTGCAGCTAATACCACTATCAATTTTAGAAAATTGTCATCACTCCCAAATGAAGTTCCATACCCATTAGCAGTCACTCCCCATTTCCCCAGTCCTGAGCAACTGCTAAACTACTTTCTCTTTCTATGGATTTACCTATTCAGGATATTTCATATAAATGGGATCATATAATATTGTATATTACATACAATATAATCAGTCTTTGGTGACTGATTCTGTCACTTAACATCATGTTTTCAAAGTTCATCTATGCTGAGGTATCAGTATTTCATTCCTTTGTACTCTTTCTCTGCCTTCATTCCTTTTTATGACTGAATAGTATTCCACTATATGGATATACTGGGTTCATCAGTTGATGGGACGTTTGTCTTGTTTCCATTGTGGGACTGTTATGAATTTGATGCTTTTGTGTGGATGTATGTTTTCAGGACATTCCACTTGGAAATTTTTTTTTTAATGTTTATTTCTTTTTGAGAGAGAGAGACATAGAGTGCGAGCAGGGGAGGAGCAGAGAGAGAGAGGGAGACACAGAATCTGAGGCAGGCTCCAGGTTCTGAGCTGTCTGCACAGAGCCTGACACGGGGCTCGAACTCACAAACCTTGAAATCATGACCTGAGCTGAAGTCTGATGCTTAACTGACTGAGCCACCCAGGCACCCCCAGGACATTCCACTTTGAATGAAGTCTAGGACAGTCATGGTGGGGAGCGGGAGGGGAGAGGGTGAAGTGGAGAGACCTGCTCACCCATGTTCAGGCTCTGAGCAGTTGGGTGGGAGTGAGACGGGTAGGCTCAGAAGGGTAGGCTTGTGTCTGGCCTCCCTGAGAGCCTGTGGTGTATGAGGCCAGGGCAGGGCCATCCCCCCACCAACACATACCCACATGGTTGTGTCACATCTGGCAGCTGTTTGCTACACTGGAAATAGCCTGGGCAGCTGGTATTTTCCCGGGAAGTCAGGTGCATTTTTTTCCAGTGTCCTGCCGAGGGCCAAAATTAGTTAAACCCATAGAGAAGTGTGAGCTACATGGTTAGGCCAGAGGAGGGGAGTTTGTCAACAGGAAGCTGGCCAGCCAGGGGAAAGAGGTGGTCAGGAAGACAAAGGTTAATAAGCCGTGTGTAAAGCCAGGCTAAGCTGCTAGGCTCCCACCCCTATGATCCTCACACAGAGGCAGTGGTTTTGTTTACAGGAAATGCTTTGAATTTCTCACTGGCCCCATTTAACAGATCAGGAAACAGAGGCACTGCATTGAAGGATCTGCCATTCAGAGACAAAAAGGGGACTAAAAGCTAAGGTCTCTGGTTCTGCTGTGAGCAGCAGATTTCATAAAACCCAGCCCTTGCCCTCAGTGCTGTGTCTGTCTTTGAGTTCACAGGAGAAGACAGGACACAAAAACAAGAAAGAATTTTAGTCTCCTAAAAAAGAACACCAAACCCCACCCCAATCCTAAAGCAAAAACACAAAACAGGGCTTTAATTACCATCTTTTCATCCTTTCCTTTTTTACTTTTTTTTTGTTGTTGTTCTCCAGCCAGAAAACATTATGTTGTTAGACAAGAATATTCCCATTCCACACATCAAGCTGATTGACTTTGGCCTGGCTCATGAAATAGAAGATGGAGTTGAATTTAAGAATATTTTTGGGACGCCAGAATTTGTTGGTAAGTTTTAGGCCTATTTCTCTCCCAGCTAAGTAGGCATCTGGGAACAAAAGGTAGAGAAATTCTGGGAACAAACCCTGTGTCTGTTTGAGAGTCTGGGCTGAGAGATGGTGCCTTGGAGACTCCCCCTTGGAAACCTAATGGGTGGGGAAGAAAATGTCCTGCAAGTCTTCTGGGTAAGGGTCCAGGTGCTGGCCTTGAGCACCCAGTGGGGCAGGAGGAGGCCCGGTGGGGCTAGAGGCCTTTGCAGAGTCAAACCCTCCCGGAGCTGGCCCCACCTCCTGCTCTTAGATGAATTTATTGTGAAGATTTAAAATTTCCTCACCCTCTGGCATTCCCATAAACTCAAGTTTCTCTGAAGTAGCTTTTGACTTCCTGAAAAGGAGAAGGGAAATCATCTGCTAAATGCCAGATCCACCCACTCACCTCTCCTGTGTGCCTGGCCTTTATTCTTGCACAGGGGGCCCTGCTTCACAAGAGCCTTGGCAGCTCCCCCATCCCTCCGTTTCTATCAGCCTTGGCTCAGGCCCCAGAAGCCCCCTCGTGGGACTGGGGCTGCAGGCTGAGGGTCCTAGAGAGACAGCCTTACAGAAGGGAGAGGAATGAGAATTGAGGACCACTGTCTCTCTGCTTTGGGAGTTGAAGTGGTCTTGGAAATGGAAGGAGGTCATGGTCTCTCCAAAATCTGGGGAAAACTTCTGACATAAATAAAATAAGGAAAACAGAATGTTTCAGATCATCCATCCTGATGGATTTTCAGGTCACACACGCCAGCCCCACAGCCACTATGGAATGGTGCTATTAAGGCTCCACAGACCCCAGGGTAGGGGAACTTTGCTGTGTGCCAGGCACTATGCCGGTGCTCTGCAGACATCACCTCAGCTAATCTTCAAACAACCTCATGAAGCAGATTTAATTATTTTCTCTATCGGATGCTTTGTTCAAGGCAAAACAACCAGTAGGTGGTAGAGCTAACATTCAAATACAGATACATGCAACATCAAAGCCTGTGCCCTCTTGGTTACATGGGGTTGTCTCTCTAGAAAGACCTTGTCCCGAGGAGGCTTACAATTTAGTTGTGGAAACATCAAACGACCGAGTGTGAGTGGTAGAAGGATCTTTTTAGGTCATCTGGGCTAGTTCAACAAATGTAAGATTGGAAGTCTGGGGGATTTTAGTGAAGGTCAACCAATGGCTATTCTTCACCTAATATCTATGACAGATATTAGGTGAGGTACTAAGGACACAGTGGCGGCAGGGAGCCACACTCAGAATGATTCATGCAAGGTCACACAATGAGCTGGTGGCAGAAGCAACTTGAACCAAGGGCACAAGACATCTATTCTTGAACTTTGTCCAAGATGGCAGTTGCTGCCCACCATTCACATATGTGGTGAAATGCATATATTTATTCACTTAAGTTCAGACCAGATGCTAACAGTAAATGGTTCAACTAGACATTCAGGGCAATAGTGGAAGAGGTGTCACAAGACAGGATGTGATTAATTATAAAGTGAATGATAGAGACCTCTCTGAAGACTTCTCAAACAAGATATTCACTCTGGCAAAGTCAATGGGATCAGTCAAGCCCTTGAGTCAATGAGAGACAAAGGGCTGGTGTTGTGGGTTGGAGAAGTGTGAGGAGGGGTAGGGAAAGAGGCAGGGTAGAAGAGGAGTATACATCCCAGTCTCAGTCGTTCATAGCAGTGGGGAGGGCCAGAATTAGTACATTTATCCAGGACAATTCCCTGTCCACTATGGATGAAACAGAGAGTTCCTATCAGAATGGCCATGTGAGTGAGACATTGATGGCTAGGGCCAGACTATGGAGGGTTCTTTCCAGTGATACAGTGTTAAATGTCTAACAACTGGGTCTCCAAAACAAAACAAAACCCAACCCTAATTTATAGCATTTGCCAATTTTAAGCTACCAACTTGTCACTGAATTCAGAGTTGGGAAGAGATACACACAGTTGACCCTTGTGAGCCAGTATGACCCAGCTCTAGCCTAGAACTGGTTTTGTTTGCACCTTACAGATATACAGGGTGACTTCTCTAGGCCTCTGCCCAAATTATGATAACTTTCTTTATCCAGGACTCCTGAGAAACAGGTTATAATTACTTGTCCTACTCCCACCATTACTCTGAAACTTCAACCTGAGACACAGTATTGAGAAGTTACCATCAGCTTCTGGGAGCATGGTGGACCCGGTCTTCCAAAAGCCCTCCGGCAACAAAACTTGATTCTTGAGAAAAATATTCTTTATAATGAAATTCTGGACTCATGGGAAATAAGAGAAATCTTTAAGGGTAGTAACTCTTCCTGCATCACCTGCCCCACCTCCAAAGCCAGTGAAATATGAACTTAGAGCTGGAGCTGTGAGCAGCAAGAAAATTCAAGAGGAGGTCCTCTCCCAAAGGCAAGTGTATGTATCAGCATTTCAATCAGAGACTAGCAAGACTTAGACATCCAAGGACATAAGATATTTAAATGATCACATGTTGACTGTAAAATCAAGGGAATGTATATAGAAACAAAAGAATCATAAGAATGAACAAGCAACAAGAGACTGTCAAAAATGACCAGGCAAATGCTAAAAAGAACCAGGAAGAAGTTTAAGAAATTCTATACTCCTAGAAATTTAAAATTTAGTGAATGAGTTAAACAGCAGATTACACACAGCTGAAGAGAGAATTAAAGAATTGAAAGGCAGAGCTGAATAAAATTAGCCAAAATACCACAGAAAGATCAAGATACAGGAATATGAAATAGAGGACAAGTGTGAGAGGGTGAAAACAGAAAATCTAACACAGGTCTGTTTGCAGTCCCAGAGGAGGGAATAGAGACAACAGAGGATCAACATTTGAAGAAAATGGCTGAGAATTTTCAGAACTGTTGTGAAAACATGCATCTCCAGATACAGAAAGGACAATGTATATCAAACAGAAATAAATAAATAAATAAATCCATTATAGTTACACTGTAGTTAACACTATAGTTAAACTACGGGGTACCAAAGACAAAGAGATCATGAAAGCGGCCAGGAAGAAAAGACAGATAATAAATAAATAAATAAATAAATAAATAAATAAATAAA